AAAATATTATGGTTTTTCAACCCGAAGCTCAATTATTTCGCAAATTTTTGCAAAAAATAATTCGAAAAATCAATAAATTAGTTAAAAAATTGTTTTTTTTTTTTTCATAACATTAATTACACAGAGTCAATATAATGATTTTAGCCATTTGCAGCTAGAAACGAAACTATTATGCAAAATTTCGCTAAAAACAAAAAAAAAATTTAATGTGGCTAGAAATGGCGTTATTTTTACCTTTATTGTCAATTTTTTGTAAAAAAACAAGCCGAAAAAATGCAAAACTAGACTGAAAATGGATGTTTTTCCATTTTCCAGCACGTGTGAGCTGAAAGCTGGGCTTTTTCTCGAGTTTTATGTAAAAAAAAGTAAAGCTTCATATTCGTAAACGTTCGAAAATTGGTAAATCTGGCAAGAACCAGGTGATTTGGTGATTTTTATGTTATTGGGATGGCAACGCTTGCTGTCAGTCTGTCATACGCCATGTTGGGAATCGGAAATCCATCAGATTAGGAAATAGACGATTTGGGATGGAATGTTGGTGATAAATCCAATAAAAATTACCACACCTGAAGGTATTCTGCCCCTTTAAGTCGATTATAGCCCCCCGATGTAATAGCACGCATGTCACTAGTCGTTGCAGAATTGCAATTTCTGTAAAAATAGATCTTTTGCTTAGATTGCAAAACATAATAGTCGTGGAACAATTAAACCAAGTCGTTGAACGTTGACTTTTAGTCTTGTGCAATGTGCAAAAGTTCTATTTAGTTCTTTTTTTCGGTTGTAATTGTCGAGTTCTCAATTGTAGAATGACAGCGGAGCTAATGGCCAATGGGACTAAGGAGAAATGGGATCCAGGTGAGCGTGGATTACGTGAATTTTTCCCTTTTTTATGGTTTTGTAGTTGCATGTATTTATTTAGAAATAAACGATTCGCATTTTTATTTCGTTTCATTTGTTTTTATAAGTATAGAGTGACTCAAGTTGGACGTCGCGAAGCGAAGCGACGTCCAACTTGAGTCACCCTCTACCCCACTAATTGTGGCTCTTCAGCTTTGTCGCGCTTGTTGTCCTCGCTGCAACAAGCCAAGGAGTTGCCCTCGACCGAAGAGGAGTTGGGGTTTTTGAGTGAATTATTGCAATCCAAGGAACTTCATGCCTTAGTTAACGTTCACAATAAGATAATCAGTAATGGCGCTAGCGATAAATTTTTCCCAATGTTGTCGACATCGATGCATGTTATGGTGGATGTTTTGGAAGTTTTAGCCACCAGATTACAAGTTTCCGAAGAATGCAAGGAGTTGTTTTATTTGCTGCAGAAACCTCACGTGCAGGTAGGTATTGTGTGTTGCATAACTTCAGGGGGAGCGAATTGTCCCAAATCAATACTTTTGAATGCAGATTTCACTCAACGACACAAAATCCAACAAAAAAGTCTCTTTTTTGTCACTTTCTTTATTGAAAAAAAGTTAAAATTCTTCTTCATTCCTGAAATAAAACATTAAACGGAATTATTTTGTTAAAATTTGACCAAAAATAGTGCTATTTTTGCTTTTTTAAGCACGTTTTTGAGACAAAAACCTTTTTTGAAAACMTCGTTAAAGTTGGCAAAAATACTATATTAGATTAATTTTTTGAAATCTTGGTAAAACACGCTTTCAAATCGTAAAAATAAATCGAAATTTTGTTTGTTTCGCGTGTTTTGAGCAATATTTAATCAAAAATAAGCTGAAAACCACAAAATTTGGTCGAAAATTATGTTCTTT